ATCATAGATATGACTTTTAATTATTTTGGCCCTGGCAGTGATGAGTTACTGTGTTTATAAGATAAAAATCAAAATATCATTAAAATAGTAAAATATTTGAATAGAGTTTGACATGAATGAGAGACTCCTTGGCACCATATTAGTTTAAACTCTGATTTCTGTTTGTTTCTACGTCAGGTCATCTATGTGATGCGGAACCTGAAGGACAACATCGTCTCGTATTATCACTTTAGCAAAGTTTGTGGCTATATGAAGACCCCCAAGAGCTTCGAGGAGTACTTGGAAGAATACCTGATGGGAAACGGTGAGACATCTCTGCTCTGCTACCGGCAAAATGGTGATGATTAGCAGGCAGAGTTACTTTTTTCATTTACTTGACACGTGTGTTTTTAGGTCCTTTACAGATTAAGATTTTGCATTAAAAACAACATTTGGCTTGTGAAAATATAAAAAGTCTTGTCTAGATTTGTTACTCTCTTGGTTTCACTTTAAACACAGTTTGCGGTCCTAACAGCTAAATTTATAGATTTTTTTTGAGGGGGAAAAAAAACCTGAAAAACACAAATCTTTTTATCTTCTTTGTAGTATTTTTCATTTTTTACAATTATGTTGGAGGGATTTGAGTGTCCCTGTGATTCTGGGAGCTATGTTGTCCGAAGCAACAGCCCCTGGTAGTCTCCTAAGGCAAACTGGGCCTGGTGGAGAGACCAGACACATATTGGTTCAATTGACCTTGATGAATCCTTAAAAAAAGGAAAGCCGCCATCTTGCCCGGGTCAGTGAAACAAGGACCTCGTCCTGGAGTCAGGAGTGTGTGTGTGTGTGTGTGTGTGTGTTTGGGGGCATTTGTGCAGTTGTCTTCTTTGAGCCCTTTAACATAATTAGATATTATAGCAGTAGCTGGTAAACTAAGTCAAGATGTTACAGCACAATGTTAGCCATTTATTATGTACTTATCATACAGTTAGAGACCTATAAAGGAGGATGTATGATAAGTACATAATAAATGTTAACCATTTATTATGTACTTATCATACATCCTCCTTTTTTCGACCAAATTCTTTGAAATTTATTTTATAGGGACTATGAATGACAAGATGTTTCAATTATTACTGCAGCATGACTGAAACTTTGTGTAGAAGCACAGCTACTCTGTTTGAAATGAAAATGCTAACTCACTGGATAATCTATTCTCATCTACAGTTGGAGCAGCATCCTGGTTTGACCACATCAGGGTGTGGCACTCAAACAAAGACAACTACAACATCCTCTTCCTCACCTACGAGGACATGGTTATGGTGAGATGTTTTTCCCCCTCTCAAGTTGTTCAGTTAAAATTCTTCCAGTCAGTTATTTATAAGAGTCTAAGGTCTCTTCTGTGTTGGTTTTGTTTTAGGACCTGAAGGGAGCAGTAAAGAAGATCTGCAGCTTCTTAGGGAAGAACCTGAGTGAAGCCGCCATCGAGCAGGTTGTGGAAAAATCTACATTTAAGACCATGAAGAAAGACCCAAAGGCCAACTACGAGTTTCTGTCAAAGGAGAGGCTCAATGGACAATTCATGCGTAAAGGTAATGTGACAAAACTGCAGCTCCTGAAAAGAAACATGTC